AGCCTCTGAGCAGGTACTGGTGCAATTGACCATTTGCTTATGCCTGCCCATTTCAGTTATGGAAGAATTGAAAGCTTGACAGACGAAGAAACAATATTATGCTTTTTTTTTGCTTACAATAGTCTAAGCCTTGGTTACTACAAAAAACTAAGCTGTGTCTCATTTTGGATACTTTGTGTACTGTGTACTGTGTATGTACATACTTGAGTAGTGTGTGAATTTGAATAGGGTAGTGTTGTGGACTTACAAGAGAGGTCAATTGCAACATTTGACCTGTTCTTCTTTTTCTTTAATACAGAATTTCAACCAGTGGGCATCATCATCGGCCACCATAATAACTTTGTTACATTTTCACAAATTGTCATTCGGTGTGAGTGTGACTGGTTGTCTGTCTATGTGTGGCCCTGCGATAGCCTGGCGACCTGTCCAGGGTGTACCCCGCCTTTCGCCAGCTGGGATTGGCTCCAACCCCCGCGACCCTGTACGCAGGATAAGCGGTTGACGATGGATGTATGGATGGAATACATTATCTGGGTACTCATAGTGCACTGCCTTTTGCAAGTGTAAAGACTCTTTTGCCCTCAAAATAGCAAGCGCAATTACGGAAGAACACTGATTTGAGACACGTGCTAGTTTGTCGGACTCGCTTGGTTGCAAATGCAGCAGCTTACATTAGAGCAGATAAAAACAGAGTAATCTATTCTTTACACTTTTGATCTTGTGTTTTTTGGTTTTGGTAAGGCTGCAATTTACACCGCCATAATACTCTTAACATGTTGAGTATTGATATAGCTAGAGCCTCATGCACACTGCTTCAGCATGTGGAGACATCCAAAGCTTACAAAACAGGTCTGTGAGCAAGTCCCAGCTCCACAGGGAGCTTCGGGCTCATTATGTTCAACACCATGATGCTCGTACCGATGAGTGACATGATGACAAACAGCGGGAAATAACTTGGGGGTAGTTTTGTACTAGCCTCTCAACCTGCTTTTAGACAATGTCGCAGCTGCCTCTGAAGCCTGCGGCTCTCTGCCCTGGGCTGCAAGTGTCAGAGGGGCGTCTTTGAGAAGACAAGTCACAGCGAGAGGGCCAGGGTCTTGGTGAGATTCTCACCGGGAAGTGCGAGCCCCACGCAGGCTGAGCCCAGGCTGAGTTTTTGCAGGGCAACCAACCTCTCTTGATGGATGGGGCTTAGCGGAGTGATATGAGCAGCAGAGACACATGGAAGGTTTTGCATTGTATGTTCACTTCTTACCAACTGCTGCTTTAAGGGTTCCACCAAGAGGTCAGTTACACATGGAGTGAAAATTGTTTCTCCTACAATTATTATATTTTACAAGCCAGTTTTTACCTTCTAGCCTGGGGATTTCAGGTAATGGCCATTCAGTCACAGTCCACTTATCAGTAAGTCACTTTTCAGAGTAGGGATGAAATCTGATACTTCCTGTCTCTTAGTGTCCCCTCCTTAGTGTCCTTGTAACATAACACAGAAGAAATACAGGTGTGTGGAGAAGGTGAAATGCACAACAACATAATTAATCAGTGTTTGTAAAACATTTTCTCTTAGAGGTAATTAGTAATTAAGATGAAATCTCAGGGAATGGCTGCACTCTGGGACCTGCACTGAGCATAAAGCAAATGAAAAGTGTACAACAGAGAGCAAAACTCAACACTAATTAAATGCCAAAGAGGCTTGCTGGAGAAACAGCTAGTTCAATTACACTGAAGTAACTGATGCACATTGCACTCAAACACACGTATTCTGCTCTGGAAAGGTGAAGGTGGCCAGCTGATTTGCTGTGGTCAAGCGAGGGTCTGAGTGGGAGGGTGATCAAAATGGATGTGGAGAGGGGGCAGATGGATGGGTTATGGTGAGTGATGGATCTGAAGCGGCTACTGGCCCATCTGAAATCCAGCAGAGGTAGTATATCTGATACTGCTAAGCATTTTATTTCCTAGGAGACACATCAGAGCTATCAGATAAGCGTTGATGAGCAAGTGGAAAGTATCGATCAGCTTTTGTCCACCCAGGAGATGACGCTGCAATTGCTGTTTGCGTGAACTTCTGTCTCACCTTGATCAATCCTACAGAGAGACGGTGCAGAGGAGCTGTGATGTGTTAAGGCACTCTGGGTGTCATGATATACAGTAGCTTATTCACAGACTGGCCCACAAAGTTTCTTTTCAATTGGAGGTGGCACTGAATAGAATGAAATGTGTAGAAAAAAGTTGTGGATAAATGTGGATATCTAGCAAAAAGAGACATCACCTTGTATTTTATTTTCCATTTTATTTAAACTTTTTTAATAATCTAAAACAGTTGATTGATTTGTGTGTTAAATGATCCCGAGGACACAGGATAAGCGGTTGACGGTGGATGGATGGAGGGATAGATGGATGATGCCAAGGGAAACATGCTGAATTTGCCATTCCTATTGCTTCACTCATATACAACAGGATTAAAACGGCAGCTTTTTTCAGAGAATTTCAGGGAATTACAGAAACCTGTGGGTTTACTTGCAAAGGCAAGTAAGGCCGTTAGCAAGCTAATGAGTTTGGTGACAGTTAACTCAAGTCAACTGAATTAAATGATGTACAGTTCTGTCAACAAAATGCCAGAGGGTAGTACCTCTGCGGGCTATTGTGACTGACAAGCTCTAGTTTGTTCCTGGCTCGCTAACATGTTCCAGTAGTTGGTGCAGTAGTTCACCAACCAGCCCTGGAGTCATTACGCCATAGCTACTAGCAATGTCTCTTTGGCGAAAATGTGCAGGCTAATAATAATACTAACGCCTTTCATGAAACCCAAGGAAGCTTTACAGAACTGACTGTACATGAGACAACAACAACACATTTCAGTTAAAATACTGAGCAAGCAGCGCTAAGGGAGTCTCCAGGCTGTGGTGAACAGATGGTGTTTGAGGAAGAGCGTTCCAATCGATCATCCGAAAGTATGGAGTCTGATGTGGAGACTGGGGAGCAGGCCAGCTCCTGAGGACCCATGGTTCCAGGGTGGGGTGTTAGAGAGGTACTGTGGGACAAGAGCATGGAGGGATAGGTGAGAAGGAGGATTTTGTAATTAATGCGGGACTTGATTGGGAGCCAGCGAAGGTGGAGGTTGCGGGGATGTGCTTGTCACCTGAATCTGGATTGTTTTGCTGTCCAGCCCACAACTTTACCTTTTTGGCTCACTCTCACCACTCTCATAGCGTATAGCTTTGGACTACAGCATGCTGTTTGCAGAACAAGAAAAGAAAAGCTCTGGAAACCCTCTGTTCACTAACTGCTCAGCACCAAACGGCTGACAGACACAGTTAATGACTAGCTGACAGAGTGCAGCATTTAGCAGCTAAAGAGCCAGAAATGTTTCTCAGGAGTTGGTAGGGACAAAAAACAGAGAGATATTCAACTTACATTTTCCAGGTCACCAGCAACACGACTCCAAATTAATAATAATCATGCTCTGTATGTGCTGGAGAAATAAGCAAGAATTTGCCAGTAAGTTTGCCATATTAGTGTAAAAGGTGATTATGTCAGTATTTTTTTTACGGCTTTATTTAAATACAGTCATTGGAAGATGAAGACGGGGTTAAATTCAAGAGCAGCAGACTACGATCCACCCGGCCCAAACAAGCGGACCAGGCACCACGGTGAGTGACACCCAGGAGAGGAGCCATGCTGGCCCAGCTTGGACTAAATTCTGCTTTTAATGATCCTGTCTGGACAAAATGGGAATTCAGAGACTGTTGTGCCCACATTGTTACAGAGACCTGCCCCATCAACATCCTGGATCAAGCACTCAGCAGGTGGTTCATGTTCCCAGCTGTGAGCGCAAGACATCAATGATGCTTGGTGCACAAACGCAGTCAAGATGGACTCTGTTTCCCAAGTGTCAGACTGTTTATTGGGAAGATGAAACTTTCATATTATCATCTGGTTGCTGCTGTTTACATTCACCCCAGATGGAAATTCAAAAAATGCACTGTAGAATGTTCAGTGTGTATGCTGTATGTGTATGGCCTATAGCCTAGGTATAAAAATTAACTGTATATATAATTCTATTTTATTTTATATGTTACCATATTTTAACACAGATATGATGTGTGTGTAGCACAAAGAAACGACAAATATTATTCCGTTATGCAGCCTTGTGCTGTATAATGACTAATAAAGAACCTTGTACCTTGGTGTATAGCCTAGAACTTGTTTCTGCTGCCCTGAGGTGGCCAAAAATAGACTAGGCTATATGTTATTGCAGGTTTAGGTCAACGTGGAAAATTAATTCTTTAATAGTAACTTAACACCAGCTAAAGCAGTGTTTTGCTACCCTCTCTTGTTAAGACTTTCAAGCCCATTTAACCTCTCCCACTGGCTGTGGTCAGAAATGTTCTCTGTTGCACCTGGATGTCACCAGGTCCTGGAGTCCACCTGCAGCAAGTTGAGAAGTTAAACCACTGGAGGTCAGCAAAAACAACATTTTAAGTGGGTGTTGTACTCTGAAAAATTTGAAATCTATAATAAGCTATATAGATAACGGTAGAAAGCTCAAAATAGCTGTGTTTAGATGTTTTTTCAGTTGTAAATATACCCTATATAATATACTTTATTATCATGGCTGTCATCACACACTAGTCGAATCTTTTTGAAAATTTTCCCCTCTCAGGTGCACATCCCTACATTACTTCAATAGAAGCTTTATTGACTTTTGGACTTGTTTGTTTGTTGGCAGCTGAGTTAATTATTTTCACAGCTTGTGAGCAAACACATCCCTCAGATCAGCTGCCTTAAATTGATTTGATTGGATATGATTTATTACTCTTCCAAAAGTGAGATTATTTCTTTATCGTATGGCTCAGTTTTGAAGATAAAACCGCAAGATCAAATAAGGACTCTCTTACTGTAGGTTCTTACCCATCAACTTATAATTCCCTTTTGACGCTCATAATGCGCAGCCTTGACGTCGAGCGCACGGGCACTTGAGAGCGCACGGGCTGGGAGGTGGGGATCGTGGAGAATATAAAAGGTATGCACACAGCTAGAGCGCACAGACACAGCTGGCCGCTGCCAAGGGGCCACCTTCTCCTCTTCTATCTGGATAGAAAACAGAGGAACGCAACCTCACTTATTTTACGCAGAGGCTATCTGCTTCCACACATTTTTTGGAAACTCTTTCACTCTCTCTCCACTTCTTGTCCTTTAGTCGGGCCCGCTCTCCCCTTCCAGACAATTTAAGTTCCTATAAATAATTGTGTGAGCAAGTTTTCAGCACAACGGGCAGAGTGGACAGTGCCGCAGCGGCCGCAGCATGGAGCCGTACACGGTGCCGGGGGCTCAGCTCTCCATGTCCGACCTTTACTCCGTCATCCCCTTCAATGTCACCTTCCCGGACGAGGAGAGGGGCTTGGTGGGCGACGGGGTGCAGAACTACACCGAGCAGCAGAGTCCGGTGAGGAGCACCGGGGGTATAATCATAGCCATATCCATCACGGCTCTCTACTCCGTCATTTGCGTGGTGGGACTCCTGGGCAACGTCCTCGTCATGTACGGGGTGGTCAGGTAAACGCTGCTGCTGTTGTTTTTAAATCACAGTCGTTTTACTGAGTGTGTCGATCACTAAGACTTGTTCAGACATAACTGTGTCATTGCCTGCTTATGAGACCTTATATGTCCCATGACCGACATTTGAAATGACTGCGAGAGTTTTAGTGATGATCTCATAAGTTTAATTCACATTTTGGGTGCATTTTGATACAAAATCTAAATGTTAAATTATTTTTAGCTTTTATTATTTCCCCCTGTAAGCTCTTTATACACTCAAAACAATGAACTCAATTTATTAGAAAGGTTTGAAACCATGAAAAAGGCAGATTTTCTACAAGCCTAAAAATAGGTCTACAAAGGAAGTTTGTGCCTTTGTGCAGAAACCTGTAAGAATTAATAAAATGGTTCAAAATAGACCTTTTTAGGATAGACATGGTGTAGCCTACATATTCAAAATTTTCTGAATTTTAAGTGGATCAGCAGATATTGCCCCATTAACAACCTTCACCTTCTGGTTATACGCAGTGTGAGTTTGAGAAGGGTGTCTATGTGCCTGCGTGCATCCCTGGCTGCATTTGTGTGTGAGATACGTGCATCCCAAACAAGTAACCTAAGGTTCCCTGAATAAAACATGAGAATGTTCCTTCGTAATTTCTACATGAAGTGACAACAAGAGCAAGTTTTATGCCAAAGAGGTTTGGGAGCAGTCGAACCTCTTGTCTCAGTTTGACTCAGCTGCACCCCATGTAGAGAGGGCTGCTCATACAGAGCCTCCTTTAGCTCACACAGATCTGTGGACCATCAGCTGAACACTCCTGTCCACTGGCTTTGATGGGATTGTAAGATCACTAAGAAAATCCCGAGAGACATGTTTGGTCTTTATTTGGTCTCTGAATTAAATAATTGCCTGCTTAATGGATAAACCCATCCATTTATTTAAGCTTTCATGGTGTGTCGTTGCAAGCATTCAAATGACGGGAACTAAGGTTTTTTAAAGACTTGGCCTTTGTTAAGAGTAAGTTGATTTTGTCCATTAGTGAATGTCTGCAGTATATTTGTCAGTCCGAGGTCACAGTTTGCCTTTCCTCCTCAGCTAACCCCACTAGATACAAGCACCTTGTCGTTTCCCCAGCAGCCAATCAGCCATAACCTGTATGCGTGTCAGGAATGAAACAGCTTACATCTTTCACAACAGCTCGCTGTGCTTGTCCTCGCGCATCATATTCATTTCTAATCTCAAAACCCCTCTGTATGTGTTCATCCAGTATCACCTGAAGCATTAATTACTCTAGCTGGGCCGGCAAAATGATCAAGCAGGTGGAATTAATTTGAGATGCCCCAGCAACAGGAGAGAAGGAGAACACAGCCAGGTGGAGGCGAAGCAGTCAAAGCCAGCGGCTGTTCTTGAGCCCACTAACATGACATGACAGGCTAAAATGTACACAATAATAAGATGATATATGTGAATGAGAGAGGCAGAGTGAGTGCTGGCAGAGAGGAATGATGAAGAACTGAAAGTACCCATTTTTCTGCAAGTGGCAATCTTTGGATATTAAACCAAGGAAAAATTCATAAATATTTAACACTGCCCATTATTTCTATTCAGGAAGTCGGAAGGAGAATAACAGGCCAAACAAGGGACCTAAGATAAAAAAAGAAAAAAGGGAGAGAGGGAGACAAAAAGGAAGTAAAAAGGAGATGGATGAGAGCAACGATCCGCCTGGCATTTGTGTGAGTGTGAGGACTCATCACTGATGCGAGACCCCCCCTAGAGGCGGAGGCAGAGTGAAGCTGAGTGCATTAACCATCCCGGTCAGAATAAATTATCTCCTGGGGAACATCTGTAAACTCTGCAGTGTATGAACTTAGAGAAGGCACCCGAACTTACACACAGAAATTGTGATGTAATAAAAAAAAACTAAAAGAGAGGGTGGGTCCTCCATGTGGTGATCATTTATCTCCTTTTAGTTTTTAAAACTTTCTATGATGTATTCTATGCATTTATAACCCTAACAAGAAAGACGCACAAACCCAAACACATATTCTTTAAATTTCAGTCGTGGTTGATTTAGTGACGCCTGTGGTTACAGCTGGTAACACCAAGAGTGTTTTAATAATGCAAGCCCCAGACATCTCATGATCTTGGCCTGTAGTTATGTGTTACTTGTTATTTTGTTATCAAAGTTCCACACTTAGGTCTCTGAGCTATCTGCATGAAAATGAGCAAACTCCATCTTCTAAGGAAGACTGTGAGATGTGGTTGTAAGTAGCGGAAAAACCTTGAGTGTCTGTGGGGACCTTGTAGTCCCACAAAGCCCCATCATTGAACAATACATAATAATACAAATAACCCTGTATAAATTAAAAAGAATTAATTTTGAGGACAATACAAACATTTTTTTAATATTTTCCTATATTTCCATATTCCTTTGGTCCAATTTTCAATCAGGGAGAAAAGGCAACACAAAAACTATGGTATAATAAACCAAAATGAGTAGATTTTTCTGCCAAACCACAATGATGTTTCAAACAGCAAATCCTGTCAACCATGAAGGACACATTCTGGCGCCACATGTTTGCTTTGCTGTCCTGGTTAATGCTGAAAATGACACAGGGATCAATCACAGGGGCAACCAACAGACTACTCTGCTGGAAATGCAACAGAACAAGAGCAACTTGGCAACAAAGAAACTGTGGGCTGAGAGTAAAAAGTTTTGACTCACAAAGACAGTCAACAATGTCTGCTTCTGTAAAACGGGCACATGCTCTGCTTTTTGTCTTCGGCATCACACCCAGGATAGGCATGCACTGTTCTCTGGGGATCCCTTGTGCGTGGGTACACATGGACTCTGCCAGTAACAATGAAACTACTGTACTGAGAGGCAAAGTGCAAAGACAGTGAATGGAATTTTTATTTTATTTTTTATTTTTGTTTACATATAGTGGGAAATGTCTCAAACTACAGTACATAACACAATAAACCAGAAGAAACCAGAGAATGTTTGACATTTCATTATAAATAACTAAATAACAACTGATTCCTGGTTGCCAACTTTTTGTCTATTGACTAATAGTTTGAGCAGTAATTATAACTTTGATTTAAGAACCAAAAGCCCATTTAAAAGCATCCTTTGATGATTTGTTTGTATGCTGCATCAGGCATAATAACCCTAACCCCCTGACCCTTAAGATATAAATAAATTAAATAAATTTAAGATATTTTCTTCCACTTAGATTTCTGGATAGAGACACTCAAACGCACACAAACCCCATTAATAGTGGAGACTGCATGAATGCTCACATCAGAGTGAACTGGGCATTGGGCTGCTGTGGCGTTGAGAGCCCTCGGTCTGATTGCTGATGGAGAGGGTGACAGAGACACCTCTGACTGTCCACTCTGTTACACAGGGTAGATCAACAGGTCTAGGCTCCAATAATCTTCCAGCTATCCTCTCCTCTACCTCGGCTCCTATTCCTGATGCCACACCTGTTAGATAAGAACTGTCTCCGGGCTCATGGAATTTATTTTCTAGTGGCCTCCATTTGAAATAATTTTAATGTGCAGGGCTGGATTAGTTGTGTTAAAGTGGATTCATAAATGAGCTGATTCTTCCAGTTCTACTAAGATAGCAGTTCTCATACTGAACATTGGTATTCTGGTAGGGTAGTACTTTGGTAAAGACAAAGGATTAAGCTACAGCATCAGTCAATGAAGCTTTTTTTCTTCAAGGAGAGGGAGTGGAACTGTGGCTGAAAATATCAAAGCCCACTGCCAACAGGAGCATGACTGTGAGTGTGTGAGTCTGTTTATTTTCCTGGGCTGAGTCAACATGGCCACTGTGTCTCACTGCTTGTCCTCCATCTCACCCAGCAGCATTTATATGCGTGTGTGTGTGAGTTGTGTGTGTGAGTGTGTGTGTATATGGCCTTCAGCCCTGGAAACACAGGGGAGTCGAGCCTGACTTCTGTATCAGCATAGAAGGGATTGATATAGTCGCTCTGGTGTAACTCCATCTGGTACAGAGATAAGGGATAAAGACTAATATAAATGCTAAAAATGTTAATTCTCTATGTAGATCTGTAAGAGTCAAACGGTATAACTGAATACATAAGTAGATAATACACTTTGCCCCCCCTGAAATGATTAAAATGTAGTGTAAAAAGAGTTATTAAGCTTTTTCTTTTTCCTGTAACCTTCAATCTGTTGATAAAATAAATTAAAACATCTTTTTGTATTTAACTAAATTAATTTTGTGCATATTTTATTTTTCAACTTCTATACCAATTTTTTTTAATCCTGGCACACATTTAATGATCATTCTACTCCCTGTTATCCTGTCTGCATTTTGATAATGCTTATTTGATAATGACATTAGTGTGTTCAGCAGTGATTGGTCCAGGATTTATTTGTTTGTGTGTGTGTGTGTGTGTGTGTAAACATCACTGGAGCAAATGAGAGGATTGTGTAGCTAGCTAGTTTAACTGTAAACACCTTTGGCTGAATACTCTGAGCATTAGTCCTTTAAGTTAGCTGACACAACAAATATTAGCTAGCAAGCTGACGCTAATAAAGACTTTACTGTTTTGTTTTATTTGACATTTTAAAAAGGGACACATTCAACTACACACATCTAAAAAAATGTCACGGAAAACACAAGTCCAGGATGTTTTCACATGCTTGGAATGACATGGGAATGAATTAAACCAAAAGAGTTTCATGTGACATAGCAGAGAGGTTTAAATCAGAATTTGTGGAAGAGAATGACACCTAGAATGACAGGGCAAGGTTTTTGTCCCTCATCGTCATCATTGCCCTGGTTACAGAGAGACTAATTGTTCCCATTGTGGACTGACCGACCTGAAGCAACATTCAGCCACGTCAGCCAGAGGACGCAGAGTGGAATCGCTCAATTCATGATACCCCAAACTTCACGAGAGTTGGATAGGTAAGTTGTTGTTGGCTAATGTGTGTACTGTTTTTATACAGTGGTACAGTGTTTAGAGTCATCATGTGA